CTGGATCTCAGCTCCCTGCAACCTCCGCCTCCCAGGTTCAAGCAATTCACGTACCTCAGCCTCCAAAATAGCTGGGATTATAGGCACGTACCACCATGCCCAGCAAATTTTTTGTATTTTAGTAGAGACAGGGTTTCACCATGTTGCCCAGGCTGGTCTCGAACTCCTGACATCAGGCAGTTGCCTGTCGTGGCCTCCCAAAAGTGCTGGGATTGCAGATGTGAGCCATTACATCTGCCCTCTAAAAACATTTTTAAAAGGAGCCAGTGAGGCCTGTGCAAGCCCCAACCCATTGGTGGTTTGGGGTTGCCATCTGCCTCATAAAGCAAAGTGGAGGGTTTGTCTTTTGGGAAGACAAAGTGTCTTCTCCTCTGAATAAGCCTCCTACATAGTTGATCTTGGCATCTTTCAGGAATAGAAAGGCAGGGCTTGAGGCCTCCTGGGTCCAGGTTTTCAGTTGAGGTCAAGAGTGAATACAGTAACCAGAAAATCCAGAGTGGGGTGTAATTACCTCCAGAACTCATCACTGTTAACTTAGCCTGGACTTTGCGACAGTTAGAGAAGTGGATTTCTTAATAATAATAATCTTTAACAGGAGCACTTTGTAAGTTTGATTTTATATGTATACATAAATTTTCTACCGATAGCCTATAAAACAAACAAATCCTCAGAAATGCCTCTCTAATGCAGCGATTTTCTCCATCTCTACTGCCTCTTTCCCATCAGTACATAAACAAAATTGAGTTCATCTTCATAAAAGTGGGGATAAAAGTGTTTTTTGTATGTTTTTGAAATGGAGCCTCGCTCCATCACCTAGGCTGAGGTGCAGTGGCACGATCTCAGCTTACTGCAACCTCAGCCTCCTGGGTTCAAGCAATTCTCCTGCCTCACCTTCCTGAGTAGCTGGGATTACAGCCATGTGCCACTAGGCCCAGTAATTTTGGTATTTTTAGTAGAGACGGGGTTTCACCAGGTTGGCCAGGCTGGTCTCAAACTCCTGACCTCGTGATCTACCCACCTAGGCCTCCCAAAGTGTTGGGATTACAGGTGTGAGCCACCATGCCCAGTCAAGGATAAAAGTTTTAAAAAATAGGCTTTAACTCTTCCTCTTTCTGGATACCACTTCACTTCCCACAGCTAAGATTTTTAAGAATGCAATGGCATATACAGTGGCCTTTCATATTTACAGGTTCTGCATCCAGGGATTCAACTAATTGTGGATGGAAAATACTTGAAAAAAATTGCATCTGTACTGAACATATACCAAGTTTTTTGTCATTATTCCCTAAACCAGCAGTCCCCAACCTTTTTGGCACCAGACACTGTTTTCATGGAAAACAGTTTTTCCACGGACAGGGGTAGGATGGTTTTGGGATGAAAGTGTTCCACCTCAGACCATCAGGCATTAGATTCTTATAAAAACCTAGATCCCTAGCATGCACAGTTCACAACAGGGTTCACTCTCCTGTGAGAATCCAGTGCCACTGCTGATCTTACAGGAGGCAGAGCTCATGCAGTAATGTGCTGTGAGCACCCCTCCCGTAAACAATACAGTATAACAGCTATATGGTATTTACATTGAATTAGTCATAAGAAATTTAGAGATGATTTAAAGTATATGGGAGGATGTACATAGGTTATGTGCAAATACTATGCCATTTTATATCAGGGACTTGAGCATCCACAGGAGGCACTGGAACAAATCCCCCGCAGATACCAAGGAATGACTATATATGTTTGCTGCCTCTATTTCTGTACCTCCCTATCATTTCTTCCTCTTTAGAAATTAAAAAATCAATTTTTTGACAGCATTTTCTCTACCACATTTTTTAAGGTACTAATAGTACCACCTCAGATGACCTCCCTTCAAATCAACAAAGTTTTTTTTTCTTTTTCTGAGACAGGGTCTCACTCTGTCGCTCAGGCTGAAGTGCAGTGCACTCATCGCAACTTCTGCCTCCTGGGCTCAGGCAATTCTCCTGCTTCAGCCTCTCGAGTAGCCAGGACTACAGGTGCCATCACACCGGGCTAATTTTTGTACTTTTTTGTAGAGACAGGGTTTTTGCCATGTTGGCCAGGCCAGTCTCGAACTCCTGGGCTCAAGAAATTCACCTGCCTTGGCATCCCAAAGTGCTGAGATTACAGGCATGAGCCACTGTGCCCCGCCCATTATCAACAAGCTTTTTTTACTTGTGTGTCCCCAGAACAATGTTGAAAAAGTGTATTCCCTCCTTGCATTTTTTAAGGTGATCCAAGATTATTTATGAGTTTAAGTGATTGCAAATTATGCAATTTCTGGATTGTTGTAAATATTATTTTAAAATAAAGATGTTACATCTTTTTTTTTTTTTCGAGATGGAGTTTTGCTCTTGTTGCCCAGGTTAGAGTGCAATGGCGTGATCTCAGCTCACTGCAACCTCCGCCTCCTGGGTTCAAGCGATTCTCCTGCCTCAGCCTCCCGAGTAGCTGGGATTATAGGCATGTGCCACTACGCCTGGCTAATTTTTGTATGTTTTAGTAGAGATGGGGTTTCTCCATGTTGGTCAGGCTTGTCTGGAAGTCCTGACCTCAGGTGATCCTCCTGCCTCAGCCTCCCAAAGTGCTGGGATTACAGGCGTAAGCCACCACACCTGGCCATTACATCATTTTCAAATGTAACCAAAAAGTGGAAACTATATCATAGCAATCTAGTGCCTATTATTATTCTTTTTTAAAAAACTTTTTAAAATAGATAGAGTCTCACTATGTTGCCCAGGTGAGGTCTCAAGCTCCTGGATTCAAGCAATGCTGCTGCCTTTGCCTTCCAAAGTGCTGGGATTACAGACATGAGTCACTACACCCGATCCCTATCATTATTCTTTTTTTAAAAGTTGCTAATGTTACTTTTCCCCCTTCATCTTCTTATTCCACAGAATTTTATCCTAATGAAGTATAGCTACAGCATAAATTATTAATATTATTATTTTGAGACAGAGTCTTACTCCGCTGCCTAGGCTAGAGTGCAGTGGGATGATCTTGGCTCACTGCAGCCTCTGCCTCCCAGGTTCAAGTGATTCTTCTGCCTCAGCCTCCCAAGTATCTGGGACTACAGAGAAACACCACCATGCCTGGCTGATTTTTGTATTTATAGTAGAGACAGGGTTTCTCCATGTTAGCCAGGGTGGTCTCAAACTCCTGACCTCAGGTAATACCCCTGCCTCAGCCTCTCAAAGCGCTAGAATTACAGGTGTGAGCCATGACACCCATCCATAAATTCTTTATTGATCCCTTATCATATGCTCCTGTCTCTCACACAAAAAATAGAAAAAAAAAATTTTTTTTTTGAGATGGAGCCTTGCCTAGCCACTCAGAGTGGAGTCCAGTGGCACCATCTCGGCTCACTGCAACCACTGTCTCCTGGGTTCAAGTGATTCTTCCATCTCAGCCTCCTGAGTAGCTGGGGTTACAGGTACCTGCCATCTCATTCCTGGCTAATTTTTGTATTTTTAATAGAGACGGAGTTTTGCCATGTTGTCATGGTGGTCTTGAACTCCTGACCTCACGTGATCTGCCCGCCTTGGCCTCCCAAAGTGCTAGGCTCACACCCAGAAATTAATTTTTTTTTTATGTCAGATACACAGGGAAAGAAATTAAATTTTTAAAAAAATTTCTTATAAGTCTCCAAGGTTCATTATTTTTCTGGACTGAATTTTTATTTCTATTTTTAGTATACAAAATGTCAATACAAATCATAAAAATGGGCCGGGCGCAGTAGTTCACTTCTTCACTTCTGTAACCCCAGCACTCTGGGAGGTCAAGGTGGATGAATCACCTGAGGTCAGGAGTTCATAACCAGCCTGGCCAACATGGTGAAACCCCATCTCTACTAAAAATACCAAAACTAGCTGTGCATGATGGCATACACCTGTAATCCCAGCTACTCAGGAGAAGGCTGAGGCAGGAGAATTGCTCCAACCCAGGAGGCAGAGGTTGCAGTGAGCCAAGATCACGCCACTGCATCCCAGCCTGAGCAACAGAGTGAGTCTCTGCCTCAAAAAAAAAAAAAAAAAAAGAAATCATAAAAATGTGTTGGATACATCTCATAATGAGACAGGTAGAACTGATCATTCATTCTTTTCAATTAGTATTATTAGTTGAACATTAGGCTAGAAAATACAGTGTTGATCATCAAATCTCTTATTTTTCTTTTTTATTGAGATAACACTAAGAAACTTACATAATTAAATAGTTGGTAATGAAGGATGGTTCTTTAAATTTTGTGTGTGGATGCCATATTGTTCTATTGTCAACTTAGTCAAGCTAGGTATTTCCCAGAATTATCTTCCATATGTAGAGTTGGCTAAAGAGAAATTTGTTTGGGAAGCAGAAGTGAAACAGGGCCATTATACTTTTTGAAACTGCAGTCAGATGGAGTGATAGATAAAGGCAGAGGCAACTGGTGCATTCCAGCTTGTACGGACTCTTCTCTGCTTTACTTTCGGGACTTCTTCCTGTATTACGGGCCTAATGACCAGCAAGGGCCCCAGACCTACAGAGGCAACAGCTTCTCCAACTTCTCTATGACTTTCCAACTCCTTGTCCTCAACTCAGGGAGTCAGTTGGGCTTCACTTGGGTTCTCTCTTCCTATGCTGCAAAATGGAAACTCTCCAGGCAGTCAAGGAGGTACGTAGATTCACTACCACAATTATGCAATTAAACATTATGTTGCCATCATTCAGAAAAGTTCCCTGTGCCCCTTCTCGGAAAAGTTCCCTGTGTCCCTTAACAGCCAGTCCCTTTCCCCAATCCCTGGCCTTTGACAGCCATAATCTGCTTTCTATCACTATAGTTTTGCCTTTTCCAGGATTTCATAGTATGTTGTATCTGGCTGCTTTCCATTAGTGTAAAACTTTTGAGATTCATCTATTTTGTTGTATCAGTAGTTTGTTGCTTAGTATCCCATTGTATGAATATACTGACATTTGTTTATCCATTTGATGGACATTTGGATTGTTTCCAGGTTGAGCTGCTCTGAATATTTGCATGACTTCTCCAGGTAGATACCCAGAAAAGGAATTGCCAGGTTGTATGGTAAGTATTTCATCTTTTAAGAAATTGCTAACCTGCTTCCAAAGTAGTTGTACCATTTTGTATTCCCACCAGTAGTGTATGAGAGTTCTGCTCATTCTGCATCCTTGCCATTACTCCATATTGTCAATCTTTTCATTTTTATTTTTATTTATTTATTTATGAGACAGAGTTTCTCTCTTGTTGCCCTGGCTGGAGTGCAATGGCCGATCTCGGCTTACTGCAGCCTCTACCTCCTGGGTTCATGCGATTCTCCTGCCTCAGCCTCCCAAGTAGCTGGGATTACAGGCACCCACCACCACTCCCTACTAATTTTTAGTATTTTTAGTAGAGACGAGGCTTCACCATGTTGGCCAGGCTGGTCTTGGACTCCTGACCTCAAGTGATCCACCCGCCTCAACCTCTCAAAGTGCTGCCATTACGGGTATGAGCCTGCGTACCCGGTCTCAAAGTAATATTTCATAATGGGTTTTGGTTTTGGTTTTAGGTTTTTTTGTTTGTTTGTTTGTTTGTTTGTTTTTGAGACAGTCTTGCTCTGTTGCCCAAGCTGGACTGCAATAGTGCAACCTCAGCTCACTGCAACTTCTGCCTCCCAGGTTCAAGAAATTCTCCCACCTCAGCCTCCCAAGTAGCTGGGATTATAGGCATGTGCCACGACACCCAGCTAATTTTTATATTTTTGGTAGAGACAGAGTTTTACCATGTTGGCCAGTCTGGTCTCAAACTCCTGACCTCAGGCAATCCACCCACCTCAGCTTCCCAAAGTGTTGGGATTACTGGCGTGAACTACCACACCCAGCCTCATTGTGGTTTTAATTTGTACTTCCTTGTTGAGTAGTCTTCTTAAGCATTTTTTATGTGTTTATTGACCATTTGTATCTTCTTTTATGACTTATCTTTTGAAATATTTTGCCCATTTTTAAAAATAAAAAATTATCTTTTGTTATTTAAGTTGTTTATATATTCTGGATATAAGCCCTTTGTTCAGATAGGTTTTGAAAATATTTTCTCCAATTCTGGGCTTGCCTTTTCATTCTCTTAATTTTGTCTGAAGAATACAAGTATTTTATTTTGATTATGTCAAGTGAATCAAAACAAAAATTTTTTTTTAATTTTTTGAGATGCAGTCTTGCTCTGTCACCCAGGCTGGAGTGCAGTGGTGCAGTCTCAGCTCACTGCAACCTCCTCCTCCCTGGTTCAAGCGATTCTCCTTCCTGAGCCTCCCAAGTAGCTAGAACTACAGGTACGTGCTACGATGCCTAGCTAATTTTTGTATTTTTAGTAGAGACAGGGTTTCACCATGTTGGCCAGTACGGTCTTGATCTCTTGACCTCATGATCCACCTGCCTCGGCCTCTCAAAGTGCTGGGATTACAGGTATAAGCCACCATGCCCGGCCCCCAAAAAATTTTTATGATTTGTGTTCTATTTAAGAAATCTTTGCTTATTCAAACTTCACAAGGTCTTTGTTTTCCTTTAGAAATTTTATGGGTTCTTTTTATACTTATATCAATAATACTTTTTTTTTTTTTTTTTTTTTTTGAGATGGAGTCTTGCTCTATCACCCAGGCTGGAGTGCAGGGGCACAGTCTTGGCTCACCGTAACCTCTGCCTTCCAGGTTCAAGCATTTCTCCTACTTCAGCCTCCCGAGCACCTGGGACTAAAGGCAGTTGCCACCACACCTGGCTAATTTTTTGTGTGTTTTTAGTAGAGACGGGTTTTCACCATGTTAGCCAGGATAGTCTCAATCTTCTGACCTTGTGATCTGCCTACCTCAGCATCCCAAAGTGCTGGGATTATAGGCATGAGCCACCGTGCCTGGCCTCAGGGATACATATTGAGCTAACTTTTATATATGATATTAGGTAAGGATTGGGGTTCATTTTTTCCCCATATAGATATCAAGTTGCTGTAACATAATTTGTTAAAAAGATTATCCTTTTCCCCCATTATAAAGGGCTTTGTTGAAACCCAGTTCACCACATATGTGTGTGCCTAATTCTAGACTCTTGTTTCATTGATCTAGGTCTGCCCTTATGCCAATTTCACATTATCTTGATTAGTGTAGCTATAAAGTAAGTACTGAAATCAGTTAAATATACGTCCTCCAACTTGGTTGTTTTTTGCAACATTTTTTGGCTGTTCTGAGTCCCTTGCTTTCCCATAGAAATTTTAGAATCACCTTGTCATTTCTACCCCCAAAAAATGCCTAATTGGATTTTGATTGGGACTGCATTGAATCTTTAGATTAATTTGGGGAGAATTGATGTCTTGGCAATATGGAATTTTCCCAACTCATGAACATAGCATATCTCTTATTTATTTATTTATTTATTTACTCCTCCATTTAACTTTACTCAGCCATGTTTTTTAACTTTAGTGTACAGGTCTTACATGTATTTTGTTTAATTTTTCCTTAAGTGTTTTTCTGATTTTCGTGCTGTTGCAAGTGGTATTTTAAATTTTTCAATTTCCAATTCTTCAATGCTAGTATATAGAAATACAATAGTTTTTATGTTGACTTTGTATCCCACAATCTTTCTTTTTTTTTTTCTTTTGAGACAGGGTCTTACTCTTGCCCAGACTGGAATGCAGTGGCGTGAGCTCAGTTCACCTCAATCTCTGCTTCCCAGGCTCAAGTGATTCTTCTGCCTCAGTCTCCTGAGTATCTGGGATTATACACCACCGTGTCCGGCTAATTTTTGTATTTTTAGTAGAGACAGGGTTTCACCATGTTGGCCAGGTTCGTCTCCATCTCATGACCTCAAATGATCCACCCACCTTGGCCTCCCAAAGTGCTGGGATTACAGGCATGAACCACCTCGCCCAGCCATCCCACAATCTTTCTATTAGTTCTAATAGCTTATAACTTAAACTCCTTAGAGTTTTTTATATACACAATCATGTTTTCTGGAAATAAAGACAATTTTGCTTCTTCTTTTCCAATCTGTATATATGAGTCCGTTTTCTGTTGCTATAACAGAAAACCTGAAGTTGGGTGATTTATTAAAAAAAAAGAAAAAGAAGGTGATGGTGACACTAAAAGCTTAGACTTCACCACTGTGCAGTATACTCATGTGACACACTGCACTTGTACTCCTTACATTTATACACATTTTTAAAGAAAAAAAAAAAGGATTTGTTTCTTATAGTTATGGAGGCTCAGAAGTCCAAGGACAAGGGGGCACATCTGATGAGAGCCTTCTTGGTGATGGAGACTCTACCGAGTCCTGAGGTGACCACAGAGTGTCCCATGACGAGGGGGCTGAACATGCTAATGTGCTATGCCCAGGTCTCTCTCTTATAAAGCCACAAGTTTCACTCTGATGATTATCCATTAATTCATTAACCCTTTAATATATTGATCTATGAATTAATCTATTCATAGGGGTAGAACTCTCTTGATCCAGTCACCCCCAAAGGCCCTGCCTCTCAACACTGCCACACTGGTGATCAAGTTTCAGCATGAGTTTTGGAGAGTACATTCAAGCCATAGCACTGTGCTTGTTTCTTTTTCTTGCTTTATTTCACTGACTAGAACCTTCGATACGATGTTGGATAGAAGTTGTGAGAACAGACACCCTTTACTTGTTCCCAGTTTTAATGACAAAACATTCAAACTTTTACCCTTTTCCAGTCATGTTCCTCTAATGTAGATCTATAACTCTGACCATCTCTCCTTCTAGGTAAAATGAGCAACCAGATGCACCACTCAAAGTTTTGCCCGCTCGGAAGATTTCCTTTGACTACTATTCTCAGGACCACCTTGAGTGGGGTTATAGAAATATGTGATGCAGAAACATCTGTAACAAGGAACCAGACTTGAATTTTTTTTTTTCTTTTTTTCTGAGGCAGGGTCTCACTGTCACCCAGGCTGGAGTGCAGTGGCATGATCACCACTCTCTTTAGCCTCAACCTTCCAGGCCCCAGTGATCCTCCCACTTCAGCCTTCCAAGTAGCTGGGATCACAGGTGCATGCCGCCATACCCAGATGTTATGATTATTATTATTATTATCATTATTTTGTATAGATGGGGTCTTACCATGTTGCTCAGGCTGTTCTCGACTACTAGGCTCAAGCAGTCCTCCCGCTTCAGCCTCCCAAAGTACTGGGATTATAGATGTAAGCCTTGGCCAACTGGTGATAGAGGATTCCCCATGAGGCCATAGGAGATGTGGGTTGAGAGAGAATAGGCAATGTAGCAGGAGCAGTTACTCGGAGAACTTGCTTCTGCATTTAGGACCTGCTCAGACACAATCTCATTTATACCATTTCCATTTAATAGTGACTCCATTATTAAGTAGATGGAGTGTACTCCCAACTTTCTGGCTTGATGAGTCGTATAATACCCAATTTATCATTAAGAAATAATATTTAGGCTTAGCTCAGGATACTTGGTAATTTGGTAGCCCATAGCCAAGGGCTTTAATGTCCACTAGGGCCAAGTGACATGCTAGAAGCTGTATCTCAAAAGGAGAATAGTTCTCTGCAGAGGACAGTATTGTGTTTCTTCTGATTTCATCTTAAATCCTCTCTCTGGAGAGTGGTATAAATTCTAGCCCTGTCCTGACTCCAGGGCTCCAGGAGAGGTAGCCATGGATGGTTGCAGTGCGCCATTGACAGGATATTTCATTATCTGGCAGATGGCCTAATTTTTAAGTGTCAGACCCATGACCAGGTGTCCGTCTCACAGGAAACTTGTTTATACTGGCAGACACCTGTGTGGCTCTTGGTTATTCCTACAAAGAGAGCCACCTCACTGGAAGGAGAGTTGGGTTCAGGTGTGATGCTCAGGTGAGTTGCAGAGGAGGCAACACAGCAAAACACATGAAGTAACAAAAGCAATGTATTGCTTACAGATCCCAGAGAGAAGAGGGCCACACGCTTCTCAGGGCCAGTGAGGAGAGGAAAACTGGTCAGGACATGGGTGCTTAGATGGGTAGAGGGGAGTGAGAGAGAAAGCAAGGGGCTAACGTCTATTTTGGGTCCAGGGCATTACCAAAGCAGGTTTCCTGAGAGGAGTTTTGGGGGATTTTTGGTTTTGGGTTTGGGGATTTTTTTTGAGACAGAGTCTCACCCTGTGGCCTAGGCTGGAAGGCAGTGGTGCGATCTCAACTCACTGCAACCTCTGCCTCATGGGTTCAAGCGATTCTCATGACTCAGCCTCACAAGTAGCTAGGATTACAGGTGCCTGGCACCACACCCAGCTAATTTTTGTATTTTTAGGAGAGATGGGGTTTTGCTGTATTGTCCAGGCTGGTCTTGAACTCCTGACCTCAGGTGATCCATCTGCCTCGGCCTCCCAAAGTGCTGGGATTACAGGCATGAGCCACCATGCTCAGCGGGGTTTTGGTTTTTTGAAACAAGGTCTCACTCTGTTGACAAGTCTATAGTCCAGTGGTGTGATCACAGCTCATTACACCCTCCACCTCTCAGGCTCAAGTAATCCTCCCACCTCAGCCTCCTAAATATCTGGGATCACAGAAGTGCGCCACCATGCCTAGCTAATTTTTAAATTATTTTTGGTAAAGACAGGGTCTCACTATGTTGCCCAGGCTGTCTCAAACTCCTGGCCTCAAGCAATCCTCCCACCTCGGCCTCCTAAATATCTGGGATCACAGAAGTGCGCCACCATGCCTAGCTAATTTTTAAATTATTTTTAGTAAAGACAGGGTCTCACTATGTTGCCCAGACTGTCTCAAACTCCCGGCCTCAAGTGATCCTCCCACCTCGGCTTCTTACAGTATTGGGATTACAGGCATGAGCCACTGCACCCAAAAGGAGTTCTAAGTGGTAAGTTTAGAACAAGCAGGCATAAGTACCATGGGTTCACACTGTGACTGGGAGGTGGTCACTGCAGCATGTCTGGGCAGTCCATGTGGGGTGAAGGGATTGGTGGAGCAAGTCGTATAGGTAGTATCTAGCTGTCCACAGGGAAATGGTCATCAGGAGGTGGTTGTATAAGGCAGGTATCTAGACTGATCACATTGAGGAACTAGGAGTAGGTAGAGAACTGGAAACTGTCAAGGGTGACTGAGTCCTGCTGGTTTTTTTTGTTGTTTGTTTGTTTTGTTTTGTTTTGTTTTGTTTTGTTTTGTTTTGTTTTGTTTTGTTTTGTTTTTTGAGATAGAGTTTCATACTTGTTGCCAGGCTGGAGTGTAATGGTGAGATCTCAGCTCACCACAACCTCTGCCTCCCAAGTTCAATCGATTCTTCCGCCTCAGCCTCCCAAGTAGCTGGGATTACAGGCATGTGCTACCATGCCCAACTAATTTTGTATTTTTTAGT